TCAAGCCTTGGATGAACACTTCTCTTTCACTGACATGGACAGGTATGCTGCGCTATGTAAGTCCCTGTTCGTTTCTTTAACTCTAGGTTAACAATTCACATAGCCGATGTAGCACTCAGCCTCCGGCTGAGCTCATATTGGCCTATTTTGTTACACCTTTATTTACAGTCATTTCCTCTCAATAGGTTCGCACTTTTACTGCTTACCTAATGATGTTCCCTTCACCTAGTACCCTGACACCTGCACTCCAAACCCCACACAGTTTCTACTGAATACTCACTGTTTTGCTATCCCCAGTATGCCTGATGCCTCCGATAGGTAGTTACAGGCTGTAGTTTTGTCGAAGCGCCTGGTATTAGATTCCCCACTTCCTACCTGCTGTCCAGGAATTACTATTTGCTGTGTTTGCATCACTTCACTCCTCCTCCTGAGCTCTGGCCTCATCAGAAGCCTTGGGCTGAACATACTGCTCCCCTGTACTTGCCCAGCCCATATCTTTCTTTTACACTGACTTCATCTATAACAATTATGTCCAAGCACTGACACCAATATCAACCACAGGCATTTTTCTCATGAACTTCACTGCATCAAACCCTACCACCAACATTAATTTTTAAGCTGATCTGGATGACAAGCGTCTTTTTTTACAACGGCTCACACGCAAGAAGGATGAATCTACCATCAAAGTCAATTACGTCAAGGCATTGAATGATTATGATGAGGCACAGTTAGTATTTGTCTTTCGGCTATGCTGGTACCACATTACACTATATCAGGCTTGCATATGAATCAGCATGAGCGGAGTTTGTGAAGCTCGACTTATGACCAAATTATTCTTCTGTGGACACCAGGAATATTCAACGCCGTCCACACCCATGCCACGGTCAAATGTGATCAGAAGCTGGAGGTAGTCGTTGATTATGAACATCAAATGGCACTATCCTCGAGATGGGACGGTAAACCACCCTGAGCACATCAAAGCACAGTCGCACATTACTCATCGTCTTTTCCACAAGGCAGTGGATGACGTCGAATGTCTCGTCATCATGCAACTGTTGGAGTTGGCGAAGTTACAAATGGGTGGTCTAGGTAGAACTCGAATGCCTTTTGAAATGTAGTCTTTAACACTCATCCTCACAGGTTATAAACTTCACACCCAGATCTCCAATGCGCTGAAAACTCATGCCAATGCGATTTGAAATGCGCTCAATTGCTACAATAAATATGCGGCTCAGCTTAAACCTCCTTGCCCTGCGTTGCAATGGGAACAAATAGTCAAGTACTCATTTCTTGCCAAGTTTGACTTACTACGTGAAACCAATGGCAAGATGCAGTCCAAGCGCTGGGCAAACCCATCTTACCGTTATGCCTCCACCCAATTCATTGAGCAGCACCGCGCTAACGAAGAAATCCGCAGGCTCAATGTCGAAGTTGGATGATTGCTCACAAAAATCCAGGATGATGGGATTGATTACCCACAAGCAATTGCACGGCTGCAGTCTGATAATTCACCCCTTGCAGTTGAACTGCAGCGACACTGGATGCATCTGCAGTCAGTAAATACCCATCACCTGTGGTGCATTGAGTGGATTATGGAGCTACCAGGGTATAATGGGCCAATGAGACCCAGTACTCGCAAAGGTCGGACTGAGGTAGTGTCACTGCCTCCTCCACATCAATTACCGCAAGATCAGGATGACATAGGTGAAGGTGACACAGATGAGGAAGCATTCAGGCAGTTGGAAGATGTGCATACTTACTTCGAGGAACTCGATCACCATCGCGTGGACTTAGAATTAGTGTAATTGTTGGTAGCGTGAATGTATCTCTTGTATCTCATCCAATGCAGGTTTACTATGAGTGTCTGGTGTAAATGAGCTTGAGTGACGACTAGCATACGATGTACTTGGTATTGCCGACTGAATAACCAAATTGAAGTATGTTGATGCATGCCATTGTGAGGCTGTTGAGCGCATACTTAATCTATAACTGGGTTGCATGGACTTATTGTAACTAGTGTATGATGTACCGGTCATACTTCAACAACAGTTGCATGATGACGAGACATTCGACGTCATCCACTGCCTTGTGGAAAAGACGATGAGTAATGTGCGACTGTGCTTTGATGTGCTCAGGGTGGTTTACGTCCCATCTCGAGGATAGTGCCATTTGATGTTCATAATCAACGACTACCTCCAGCTTCTGATCACATTTGACCGTGGCATGGGTGTGACGGCGTTGAATATTCCTGGTGTCCACAGAAGAATAATTTGGTCATAAGTCGAGCTTCACAAACTCCGCTCATGCTGATTCATATGCAAGCCTGATATAGTGTAATGTTGGTACCAGCATAGCCGAAAGACAAATACTAACTGTGCCTCATCATAATCATTCAATGCCTTGACGTAATTGACTTTGATGGTAGATTCATCCTTCTTGCGTGTGAGGCCGTTGTAAAAAAGACGCTTGTCATCCAGATCAAGCTTAAAAATTAATGTTGGTGGTAGGGTTTGATGCAGTGAAGTTCATGAGAAAAATGCCTGTGGTTGATATTGGTGTCAGTGCTTGGACATAATTGTTATAGATGAAGTCAGTGTAAAAGAAAGATATGGGCTGGGCAAGTACAGGGGAGCAGTATGTTCAGCCCAAGGGCTTCTGATGAGGCCAGAGCTCAGGAGGAAAGTGAAAGTGATGCAAACACAGCAAATAGTAATTCCTGGACAGCAGGTAGGAAGTGGGGAATCTAATACCAGGAGCTTTCGACAAAACTACAGCCTGTAACTACCTATCGGAGGCATCAGGCATACTGGGATAGCAAAACAGTGAGTATTCAGTAGAAACTGTGTGGGGTTTGGAGTGCAGGTGTCCAGGGTACTAGGTGAAGGGAACATCATTAGGTAAGCAGTAAAAGTGCGAACCTATTGAGAGGAAAATGACTGTAAATAAAGGTGTAACAAAATAGGCCAATATGAGCTCAGCCGGAGGCTGAGTGCTACATCGGCTATGTGAATTGTTAACCTAGAGTTAAAGAAACGAACAGGGACTTACATAGCGCAGCATACCTGTCCATGTCAGCGAAAGAGAAGTGTTCATCCAAGGCTTGATGGCGGTGGAAGTTAGTGGTGTTTTGAATCTCGCAAGCAAGTGCATTTGACTCAGAGAAAACATGTTTGCATGTCTCAAAGTCTTCTTTCCCAGCACTGACTTTGTGCTTTGAATGATGCTTGAGTTGGCAAAGACAATTGTGCGCATGCCCGTGAAAAGCAGGCACAATGCCCTGCAGGTTGAGTCTCTTCACATCATCTGCAAGCGAGCTGCGAAGGAGGATCTTCTCAAATGCACATTTGATGTCATAACCAAAAAGGATGTTGCTGCCAAAAATGTCCATCAGCTTCTTCACACTAGCAATTGGGTATTTCATCCTGCCAACAAGTAAGTGTTATATATAGAAAGAGCACGAATTGAAATACATACAGTTCACCACTTCGGACCATGTCACATATCGTAAGCAAAAACCCGTTGTAGGACTTGGAGTTTTTGTGGCCTCGTAGAGGTCTATTTTCTGATGCATGTTGAATGCTAATCATTATCCAAAACATTCCCTATCATATCCGACTCAATATGCACCAAACCCAAAAACATCGGACATCAGACATCAGGTTTTGCATTGGGTTTTGCATCAGCCGATCGGATATCGCGCGCACTCATCCTACCTATGTCCATTTTCATTGCACTAGCCCCACTAGGTGCGTAGTTACTTGTTTTCACATCCCTAACATTGTCGACCACATTATTACATGTATTCCCATGGTCCACAGTACATCATGTCTTATTACATAGGACATCGGATCCGAAATATTGCGCTACTACTTTCGCCTATAGGGTTCTGGATTTCTATGTATCTACATAAATATTGGACTCCCCATAGCATCATCATCATCCGAGTAGAGGAGAATTGTCTCCGATGCTTAGGGGTCAAACCCAATATTTCATAGTTCTTAGTTGGCATTGCGAATATCATTGTTCCTTCACCGTCCATATCTGTCATCATTATTATTGCGCACACTGCTCACTTTCCTGACACTCGCTATCACATCACTATTAATTTCCGATACCCCAAACCCAAACCCAAACCCAAACCCAAAAACCCAAAACCCAAACCTCAAAAAACATTGGACCTGACGCTTTTGCATCGGACATCATAATTATACCTTCGGACATTGTTTCCTGCGCTCGGATTATGACCTCACATCACCCACTCACCCCAAAAACTATTCCCAGACCGCAGACCCCTGGGTCGAACACACTTGTCACCAAGTATAGCAGACTAGGCAGTGCAAGACCACAACATAAAGATATCAGTTTGGAGCCATCTTTGTATAGCCCCACTCTGTGTTGTATACCTACACTGTCAGACTTAAAGGGGGGGATTGAAAGCCTTGAGAAAGTCGCCAGCGCTATTGCAGAAGGCACTTGTAAGTTCGTGTCAATCACACATGAAGAAGTGGAAGAGTGGATGAACCATATCAAGAATGGGGAAAAGCTCACTCCTGAGCTCAAGCCTCCCATGCCGCCTGACACTCTTCCTTCAGCATCACCCCCCACAACTGCTACACCTTCTTCACCTTCTCCGCTCAAGGATGAGAATGATTCCAGGCCTCCTTCTCTTGAGAATGAGAATGATTCTGGGCCTCCTTCTTTTGAGAACGAGAATGATTCTGGGTCGTCTCCTTTTGAGGATGACAACAATCCCCTTCCCATTGAATCTACTTGCATCTCCTCAGTAACAGATGACTTGGTGGATCCTGCACTTTGTGTGCTTTCCAGTCAGCCTCAACCTCGTGCTACAGCCTCACCTCCTCCAGCTAATGAAGATGCTCTGGTCTCGATGATGAATCACAATCACAAGCGCCCTGTTGACGACACGACACCATCCAAGGGACAATGCCCGAAGTGTGCCTGCAAGCTCACTGAAAAGGCACAACAGCTGGACTCTGACTCATGTGAGACTGACAAAGTACAGCAGTGGAAAGCAAAAGGTGGACAGCGCACAAAAAAAAGCAAGGCCATCATTGATTCAGACCAAGAGAACACCATGTAGTAGAATAGTTTTCGGCCAATATATCAACCATTTTATGTGCACATTACCTCTGTCCATGAGAAGTATGTTTGTTATCAAAAAATTGCTATTAAAATATGTTATTTTGATGATCTACTCGAGCTCGCTGTTGCAGACGATGAGCACAAGGATGGCGGCGCTGCACTGCTTATGTGAGGTGATGAAGTTGCCAAATTGAGCCATGTTATTAAATAAACCGGCAGTGGCACACCGCCGGTGCTATATACATACTACATACATAAGGTAGAAAAGCTAAGTACAACTCTATAGAACCTGCCGGTGTGCACCGCCAGTGCTGCATAGGAATGCCTCCAGGCTTAATTAAGTGGTTCTGTGATAACTGTGGTACCACTTTACTAACTGGGATATGTGGGAATAATAGGTGAACAATTGGCTTCTCAGGATCAACACAATACTAGAAATGGCCAAGCTTCACCAGCAGGAACCTTGTTCCACAAGTGTTGTGTATTTATCGATATGGTTTTGGACCAGGGTATGGAAGCATGTGGTACATTAATTGGTACATTAATCATACATCAGTGCCACAGTATATTACATTTGAGACTTGAGAGTTGAGCTGGAGTTGTGATCAAGAAAAGCTGCACGAACTTTGCTATGCAAATACAACATGATACTACAAGAGCATATTCAGATGGTTTCTGATAAACAATTGTAATGAATTGTTGCACAGTTTCAATTTGAAAATTGTATTAACCATTAGTTGTGGAAGATGTATGAGCTCGTTTCTTTCCTTTGAAAGGCATGTCTGATGAAGGACCAGCGCCAAGATTGCGTCGTTTGAGTGGACTGGATGACATGTTGGAGGGTGATCATAATGCATCTCCAAGCATGTGCAGCCTACTGAGTCGCTAGGCCTACAAAAGGCTTGACAACTCAGGAAGATGTTCAAATGGGAGACGGGGGGAGTAATACAATAATAATTACTTACTTTGCAGTACTGGTCAGAGTATAGACTTCGCAAGCCAAGTTGAGTCGGAACCTCGGACAAGGAAGGCATGCAGGTTTATATGTGTATGCTTGGTGAATGGGGCAAGTATAAAAAAACAAGTTCAATGGTTTGGTTAACCAGAGAACTCACAACCGGTTCCGAGTTAGTTTACAGAAATTGGTGGGTCTCAACTGGCTCTTCACTATCTCGCATACCCAGGTATGTGCGCATGGCAGTAGCTCTGGGGCCAGCACTAGACGTGGAGAGAGTGATTCTTTGTAGAGTCAGGGAAGTAAGCATTGAGAACTTGGAGTCAGTAGCAGTTGGCTGTGATTACTTAATTATTTGGCTCTTTCGCACGATCACATTGTTGTGGAACACCCACAGCCACAATTGTCAGTGACAGTAGGGGAGTTCACAGTTGCGTTGTTTAAGTGTTTTTCGCCAAATTTGTCGCTTTGTTGTTCACCTCTGTCGGTCACCTTGGTGGCCAATGGTTTAGAAATTGTAACTTTGGCATGCTCCGTCGGAGTCTGAATTCCACTCAATCCCCAATCGGACTGCTTGTTCTAGGTCGAGCGCTGGCAGCTGCAGCGATGCGCTTCAAGGTTATGGCGCCCATCTGCACTCAATCAGGGTGCGGGAAGGACACCGATTCTCTGCCACCTTCGCCCAGCAAACTTCTGGCTGTGAAACTGCTTGTCGCCAAGGCCAAGAAGGCTGCCAGGAGGCCCAAA